GAAGTTGAGAGTTTTTACTATCCATATGCATTTGTAAACTTGTAGTAGCATTTAATTACAACATATGACCCTTTCCTCGAGTAAGACAAGGTAAATGGCTTTTGAGCACTTACAACCACCCTTGCCTTTCCTATCCTGGGACCCTGAAATGTCTTTGAAAAATATTCCAGGATTGCTTCTCGGTTGACGTCGCAAAGTCGAGATATATCTCTAACCAGTCGATTCTCTTCGGTGTAAATAATGATATCCAGGAATCTGCTTTCCGAATGGGTGACACCGTAAGTGGACCTTGCCTTCTTTACCGTGTGCAGAAGAAAAGCGAATATTTGCACTGGCAAATCCCTTGTAACTAGGACAGTCCAAGGATTATGGGCTTTATTCCGCGAACTTAGTCGCCTATGCAACTTTTTCAGCAAGATGGTCATTTCCCCTGCAATGATCGACCCAACATCGATGACCGAATTTCGCATTCTTTCGATCGAATTCTGATTATTTCGATGCTTCTCCAATAATCTCATTAGGTTTTCCTCAACTTCGTTTTCAAACAGGACAAAGTTATCAACATCATCACGCAGAGGCCGTAAAATCTTCTTGGCTTCATTTATAATTTTCACATTGGCCGCCATTTTTAACTCGAATTTCACAATAATACCGCTGGCTGAACAAGGAGCTACAGCAGGCGCCTAAATGCACTTTTGAGACGCGCGCTGGCCCGGCGTGACGTCAATGTTAACTTTTCAATAAAAAAAAAATTACAGAATTATATGTACGTATTCTCTTTAACTAAAAATACAATTCAATTGAAAAACGAATTTTTTCTTGTATTCTCAAAATTGATTTAAAGTTCCATACTGTTTATTTTATGCCACTTTTTCTGAGACGATTGTTTATTTGCTTTCTTTTGCTGCAATTTTTCTTGTACCGCAGATGAAAAGTGTGCAACTGCCCTATCATTGAAGCAAAGTGAATGTATTGGATTGAGCTACGGAGAACTTCCCATGAAAACATGGCGCAAGATAAAATGCCTTCCTTTTTCCCCCAGCCGAGGCTTATGGTGCGATGGAATGGAATTAACTCCTTTTTTTTGTGGAGGAGAGACATGGAATCTGTCTTGCTTTGTAGTGTTTAAAAATTCTTCAAATCAAACTTATAACCCAATCAGCACCGAAAATTTCATCTTTGAAGTAAAACACTGCAGATGTTTCGAAATTGTCACTGGAATGAAATACCCAAGTACGTTTATTTAAGAAAGAAAAAATCTGTTTGTTTCTTTTTATTTTTCTTCTCTTCTTCGTCCTCTTGTAATTGTTGTTATTATATTGTTGTGTTCTCTTTATTATTTATGACTATCGCAATATACACTTCTGAATGCTTCAGATCACAAATAAAATTGATAAAGGGCGCCAAAGGCGTAGCCTATTCAATTGTCACTACTACATAGATAAAGCTAAACTTTTAAAAAAGTTGTGTGTCCCTAGATCCTAAAACGAAATAAATGTTCCATCAACCTATTAAAACTATGCTTGAACCTAACGCCGTTTAAGGAACTTAGTCCGATAGGACCTTAAACATCCAGACACAAATAAACCTAAGAATTCTAAAACGTTACACCCATAGACCCTAAAATGGAGATAAATGTTTTAAAACCTATGCTTAAAACTGACGTCGTTGGAAGAACTTAGGCTTGAAAGTCCTGGCAATATTAATGGAGCTAGAGACTACAGCTTTCTGCATGTTCCTTAGCACTGAGTGACATCGGCCACTTCCAACCAGTTGGCTTATGCTTTCCTTGACCCTTCGCGAGCTCCCTCCAAGTGTGTCTATTATGATGCTATGCTGCTCAATCTTGTACTCTGGGTATCTTCTTCGTAATTCGTGCCGCAGCGGGGCGTACTTGTTCGTCTTCCCTGCCCATTTGATCTCTCTATTACTGACCCATGAACAGCTCATTTCAAGTAACACTACTTTCTTCCTTTCCTTGTCTATAACCGTACAGTCTATCCTGTTGTTTCTCGCCTCCGCGTGTTCTGCATATATTCTTATTATTATGCAGTAAAAACGTCTGTATGCCATATACAATAAAAGCAACATGAGGCGCCGCAGCGTAGACCATGAGCTAATCAGGAAATAAAATAGAAGCAAAATCTAACATTATAACTAAAAATTAACATCATGGTAATAAATGAATAAAGGCTGATAGTTTCTAAAGAAACTGTTTGGGGCTGCGTCGGTGGGGGTAACGATATATTCAAATTATCATCGTTATAAAACCTATTAAAACAGAGAATATATGTGAATTACCTCTGAAGTCTTGAACCAGTTCGTTTTAAATAAATATAT